ATGGGCAGAACAGGCTCTGTCGAGCATGTACCGCTGTCATTGGACACGGTTCGGTGAGCGGACAAATCGATTGGATGAGCTGGGGTCAAGTCGATATCGGTTCTTCCAAGGGAGTCTGAAACATGAACAGAGGAAGGTAGCAATATGACATTGTGCATAATCCGGTGAAGGAAAAGCAGAGTCAGTATGCATCAAAAAAGAATCAGCACAGAGTAGGTTGCAGTCTTGCATGTTATAGTGCCACATCCAGGAACGTGGCGAAACGCAGTCGCTGAATTTATGCTTCGCCATCGATCGGATCGGATCATGATGTGAACAAAACAGATGATCTATATGTGTAACGGATGCCCACTGTGTACAACTGTGCAGACAGCGGTGCACATAAACCCTACAAACGGACGAACAAGCCTTCACTGTGACTGATTACTTTCCGGATAGCCGTAAATTGGTGGCTGCTCTATGCAATGCAAGCAGCGCTGCGATCTAGTCAGCACTTTGACCGTCAGACCACCGTGACCTCAAACGGGCTTGCATTTCCAAAGTTTGATCTGTTCACAACGAGATATGATTTGTTTCAGGGTGGATGGCTGTTTATGCTCCAATTGTGGCGCACGACCACAACCATTTCTGAGCCATTTCCGAATGGAAGAAAGCAAGATTTTATATGCCCATGTTGTGAAAGCTGTCCATCGCTTGATGTCTATGAATTAGTAGGATTTTACTCAAGCTCATTTCACAAACATGGCTGAAGATCATGTGGAGTAGTCACTATCCATGGGAACTGGTGTACTGATCACCGATGTCTGGAGTCCGAAAGCATCAGCAATACTCATCCAGTCTCTAAGCTATAAGCAAGAGATGTTACTAGATTCCAATGATTCGGAGATGCTCACCTTAGTAACAGCATTGTATACTAAGGATGTCATGCAGACAGGATTTGGAAATACTGAGGGATCTCACTCCCGTCTGCACTGGCTTCGCATGCTTATACTGTGTTTGCCTAAAAAAGGATATTACTGGATGCACTGTGAAGCGAATACTCATTGCAACCCGCTCGGGTTGGTTGGGATCGGTGGAGAGATGTTTTAGTTTACACATGTGCAATCGCTCAGTCTTCTGCGACCATCCGCAGAGTAAGGGTGACCATGCTCGTGAAACGCGTTTCCGCCTCTCTTGCAAGTCGCGATGCAGCGCTCGATGGAGCATTATTGCCATCAAGTTTCTATGAACCTCGACAAATCTACAATGGAAATATTTTTCATGACAAAGACGACCTTTGGCGATGAATGTTTATCGAAAGCAAAATCTATCAGTGTGTAGAAGTCTTTTTCTGTAGACCGTGAAGAGGTCAGCGAAGAAGCTCGAACTGCAAGACCATCAACAGCAACTAATGACTAAATTGTGATCTGTGTGACCGAACTGTTCAACTCAGCTCATCATTGGTGTTCATTTAATGACACAGACAGTAAACAATCCCCAATATGCCATTAGCGTGATTGTGACGGACAATCCGCAAATGAGAAAAATGCGAGCGCGGATGGTGCTCAAACTGTGAACGGTCGACCAGAAATCTCGCCGAATTGAAACGTACCAACAACTTTGGGACTTTAGACAATGTCATCACAGATGATGAGTCTCGGTCCCTTGACTACGACCCCGAAACCAAAATGTAAAGTCCCGAGTGACACACCTCGACGTCCCTTCGCCCTAAGAAGTCCAGAATGGGTCAGTCAGAGTGTTGTGTCGCCACTGACGCCTTCACTCCACGACCGCCAGAAGATGTCCAAAGACGAGCCAGAAAGAGACTTGTATACATGAAATCACATTTGCTTATATACTTTTGAAGCCAGAATGAAGCGAAGCTAATACATTACACTTGAGCCAACTAACAGAAGAAAAACGTCAAATGCAACGGGCGGATAAACACCCGTGTAAATAAGAGCGAATCGCATATGTCCTTAAAATTTAGCATCATGGGACCCCAAGCGTAAAGCGCACATCCATTTACAGTGACGGGCACTGGCCAATCAGAATAACGGAATGTAGCATTTAAGCAAATGTCACAAAACAAACGGGAATAAGAAGTGCAGACCAAAAAATTAAAACTAGTACAATAATTGTGTGCCAATTAAATATTCCTTTACCATAGCCAAGTAGAAAAGTGATGCAGAGAATAAAACCGATGGAATGTGTTCTTGCAAATGGCACTGCTGAAGATGACACGGAGATGAGCGTCCATTAACAATGACGTGTGTATCAATCGGGCTAACACAGTGGAGCATTTAAACAGCAATTAAGAAGAAGGAAATAGGAAGAATAAATAACGACTATTAAGCTTGTTCAAAAAATGCATGTCAAATAGCCATTCTACTAACAAAGAGCAAGAAGACGCCTGCACCAAGGCTCTAAAGAGCATTGCAGAAAAGCCCAATGTGTCGACTTCGATGTCTGGAAATCTTACTGGAAGTGATATATCGACGCAGGTGGAGCCTAATTAGAAACCGTTTAAAGTGTTATGTCGATCGAATGTATACATGTTTTTCAATCGATCCAGTGACATGAATTTTCAGAAAACCATGTATGCCAATAGCCGTTGTTCATCATTAACTTACCGGTTGATGTGCTCCTGAAACATAACTCCGTATTCGGTCGCACAGTTCCTGTTGCAGTGCCCCGCACACATCCAATGAGCGGAAATTCATCCGGCGGGCCCTCGGCATCCCACGCTGTATAGGGATGGCCACCAGCTGAGCTTCGTACAACTGAATCTCCATGTGTTGCATCCTGCCCCGCATCTTTGCCAAACACTGTTGTGCTGAGGTTGGACGACGGTAGGACAGACTCCTCTCTCCGCAACCACTGCCTTGAGTATTGATGAATACCATGTGGATTTTCGAATTTTCTGGCTTCATGTTCCCAAGTTGGTGGAAATCCGTACATCGCACACAAACGGGTCTCTTCACAATCGCCATTCCAATGGTATCCAAATGGCTTACTGAGGTGTCTAGGCGTGACTGCAGAGAACGCGGATACTCCGTTGGTGAGGGTTTGAGAATGAAACAGTGAACACGTCGAGGCACCTTGCATTGGGTACCTGTGCAATACAAGCGTACGGAGCACTTTACATTTAGCCACAAACATTCATTTGTGTCGGTACACAGAAAGTACACATTAGAACGTCAGTACAGGCAAGTCAGTGCTATCCTCTCTCCCACAATATGTCCTACACGTTCACACAAACCCCAACCTTCAGCTAATCTCTCAGCTGTTGCTCATTCTCCTTGCACTGCATCCTGACTCTGAGCATGTGAACTGACAAAATGGGAATACACCTCATGCTCCGCTGATCATCAATCTCAGTCCGTTTGGTACTCAGAGTTGGAGGAGAGCACAGCGGTCAAAATGCACATGGTTGACCATCAAATTGTCCAAGCGAGGTGAGTGCTGCAGCATCTGGCAGTCTCGTAGTGCTACTCACTGTGAACAACCCTAATCAAGCCATCATGTGAACTGTCTGGTCCGCGTCGGGTGAGCTGAAGCAGGGGGTAAGGATAGCCGCCACCGCCACTACAGCATTCGCCTGAATCCGCATCGGTACTGTTTAGACTCCGCGTCAAGCATGATTAAGCTAACCGCCTGTGATCCGGCAGTTTCATGTGGTCGCCATCTGTTAACTGAGCCTAATCTCCACCTCCTGTCCACCACAGGAATACTAAAGTGGTGTATTTTATCTTGTCCTCACTCGACCATATCCCCTTCTACACACATCCGCAGGTAGTGAGGACAGGAATGTGAGCAATGCGGTGGCAGATGGTCACTCGCTGCGGTGGGAGACAGCAAACCGTACGAGAGCTGACGTGCCGCCGTACGGCAAGTTGAGATACCAATTAGCACAGTAGCAAATACACTTCATAGTTTATAGGGAAGGATGTGGTACTCAGGGACGGTCAATGCAATCCTGTTGAGAGGAGGTTAGTTGGTCACTTTCACTCGTTTGGCGTTCTGACTCCGTTTACCATGTAGACGAATTTGCGCTGCTTGGATAACACGCTGCTAGTCAACACTAATCTTCAAATGCACGGCAATTGGATTATGTGGGCAGAAAACTCGTCTATCTGGCCTAGTGCAGAGTTCAAGTGGTAACATTCGACCATCACAGTTGCTCTGATCCCACCTTACTGAGACCAATTGCATTCGCAAACAGTGTGGCTAGTGAGTGAACGCAGCCGGTTGGAACGGATGTAAGTCGAATTTTATATCCTCAGGAGGTGGAGTGGTAGCGGAAACGTCCAGCATCGTCAAATCCGTTGCCCTTTTGACTAATCCCCAGTCAATCAGACAAGTTGCGTGCTCTGTAGCTAATTCCTATACATGGCCCCGTGCATTTCCTGCTTCGTATCCCGGCCACTCTCTACTCCCCACTCATCGGACATGCAACCACCCACTGGAACTAATACAGCACACACTGTGCTACTGAAAGTAGTAGTTCCTACTTTTGTGCGCGTTGCAAAAGAAAGAAAATTTTCGGCGACTCATATCTACTCGCGGTAAACGCTTCCGGACTGTCAGTGCGACGGACGGAGCAGCTGGTGTATATCAGTGGGTATCCTACGACAGCACGAAATTAGCAACGCTGCCACACATGTGATATACTCACGGTTCAACTGCACGTGCTGTTCCGTTTCACAACCAGAGCCATACCCTGTTTTCTTGGGAACAGTATAAGAAGTCTGGTTGCTTCGTCAAGGAGTCGCTGATAGTGTGACTTCTCGGTCTATATTGCGAAGCGATCCATGGTGCACGCCAACAACCATCGTTGAGCAAACGGGACCCGAACTCAACGCGTGACTTCAGCAAAAGTGGTCAGTGATTAAGCAATTGTGTTACACAATACCTAACTCCATGAACGCATTTTCGCACTGGCTGTTTGGTACACGTTGCAGTGCCCTGTATACCGTCGCCCAATGTGAAAGATTGGCTACAATTGGGACTGGAGATTTATCCTCTGTAGTGTTACACTAACATCCACTCTGATCGGGATTGCCCAGCTGTCCATACGCAGGGAAAGTGCATGGCAAGCTGAAATGCAGTTCGTGTGTCATGCAGCGCCCCGTAGGTAAGCATGCGTTGAATAGCTAGAAAGTTATCGCTCAGAACTAGTGCTGAAACTCATTGCTCACAGACCAGTCAACATGGCGAATTTGTTCCCCAGTGGCTAGCACGGCGCAGATGAACTATCAAAGCACGTGTATACAGGAATTGGCTTCGCTTCGAATAGACCACATGACCGCTATGCATTGCACTGTTGTGTGGGCGCTGCTTACATAGTCGGATAAAACAGCACAGTGTTTGAATGGTTACTTGTTCACCGAGCAGAATAATGCGCTTGGAGACTCTTCGTCACCGGTCGAGTTGACAACTTTAATGTGTACATGAGTAGCGACTTCACTGGTATGCACTGAGATTCAGACAACTCACGCTCTAACGCGACGACTATCGTTGATAGGAAGCCGGTTGACGGAGACAGAGGAGTATAGGATCCGAAGAAATGTTCATGGCTTCCCTTGTCCCCGGCTTGCGCAGCTGTCACATACGCTGTGGCTTATATCTCACCTATCCACCATGTCTGCTGAAAGATTGTGGGTGATCCCGGTTGCATCCACGTCGCATGGATCGTGTTTTCGGATCCTTGAGTCGCGCTAGTTATGAGTGACGCGTCGAAGTTGATAAACGCGAGACTTGGCTGAGGTCTACACTTTACTGTTGGTTGCTCACTGATCCCTACGCACCTGATGACAGTACGCCGCTCTCCATCTCCGTGACCCAGACATTACCTACTGGCTAGCGGATTAAGACGCCAATGTCGAGATGTTGTGAATTCCGTTCCTGATGGAGCAGGTGAATGGCATCTCTGACGAATACCAATCGGAGGAAACAACATTCTGCTGCTGCTTCTCCGGGTTGGTGTTCGTTAGGAGGTTGAGAAGTGGACATATAATTTTGCTTACCATTACTAGTTACCTGCTTGTGTTTCGATACTGTTGGTTTCACGACATTTATATAAACGCAGCAATTCTTTGATTCGATTGGCCGGTCCAAGTCGTTCGAAATGGATGTCACCTCAGCGATCTATTTTCGCCAATGCCGTTTCTTCGAGCTCGCCTGAATGCTTCTTATGTTTACCACTACTTATTCATCTGCATTATTCAGTGTCTCCTACCTTGATGGTTGGCTCCATCCTATTTTACTAGCCTGGCTTCAACTACTGCGGTACCCTATTTAAATGAGCAGATTACTCATGTGGGACATCTCAGTCCTGATTCGTATCTTGTTCTTTCTGCGGTCGTGTGTGCGTGAACAGTCGGCTGGCGACATAACAATGACATGAAAGCTACCAAAAACAAAACTCAGTAAGAAGACAAATACCTAAAAGTTCACCTAAGAACGCAGCGAAAACAGAACTCGGAAGAGCGTTCCACGACGGGCACATACGAAGTGAGAAATAGTTCCCGCGCATTCGAACCGGCCATACTGTGCAGCCGACTGTAAATCGTAGCCTCTCACTGAGGTGTGGTGGGTGAGCTTCACTCAACGAATTGGTCGGTGATTGGAGACATTGAAAAATATCTCCACCAATATGGCGCGGAAATTAGGCATTCTACTGGTGATGAACAGGCCCATGATATTTGTGCATACTATCCAAACTAAATGAGTCGGTTCTGATAATCCAATTCTTCCGTTTGATCCAACGGGGAACCCCAACTCGTCTACCTTCAACGTTTCACGATCAAGGGGAATCCAACCGGCTTATTTTTGGGATGCGCGGCTAGACCATATTTTAATCAGAGGAGTACTCTCTTCCATCTGCACCTGTTCTGCTGCCCAGCAATCTCAACCGTCCACATAGTTCACTTCCGGTGCATCCACACTCTCCGCCGCTGCGTCTTACTAGCTGCCTCGTGCTTGCTTAATGGAGAACATTTTTACCACTTAGATTATCCAACCGTTATCATCAAATGAGAGCGAATAGACGGTACGCATAAGTCCTCAGCCCTCAGCACGTGTCGAATGCGTTGGCCGTGCATCTCCGGTCGTACACGTGATCTCAATTCCCACGCTTCGGATTGCAATCCCCCGTTCCCACGGTTCGAACTGCTTCCGTCGATCGTAAGCGAGGCTTTCGCATTGGTGGTGGTGGGTCCCTTGAGCGAATGGGAAGAGGGCCTTTAGGCATCTTTCACTGGATGCAGGGGTCCCATCCGAAGGATATTTGATCAAACTTTGCCAGTACAGTCATAGCCACACATGTCGCATGTGAGACAGGTATTCCGTCACGCACTCCGACGAGTGGCCACAAATGGGCCACGCAGTAGCAGTCATACGCTGCTCTATACTATACTTATCTCGGTGGGAAGCTGAGTTTTTTTAAGCTCATTGGGTCTTGGCACCACTGGACAGCAGTTTCACCTCAAACCATGTAGTGTGTGGTGCGCCAACGATGGACTCACCGTATCCAACTGCATCTGTGTTCAGTGGGCCAGCAAGTTGACTGCTTCTGTTAGTTCTGTGAGCTCAATACCAAAGCACAAACAGTCTTACTCAACAAGCAGGTCGGAGAAATCAAAGCGCGAATAAGCTGAATAACTGAGAACCAGCACTTTTGCTATCCGTCACCCCAAAATCTGCCTAAGTGCAGAAAGATGACCGGTTTGCTGAGCATCGCATAATACATCTGACACTTTTCTTCCACACATGCTTCAAGTAGGATCAAAAGTTTATCAATTGAGACGATTACGAATACATTACAGTGGGAACAGGCTGCAGTTGAGGAGTAATCGCTGCAGGCTCAAAACAAAGTGATTTAGTGCCAGACGCGCAACCAGCGATTAGTTACACAAATGCTTGACAACACGTGACCTATAAGCTGTATGCGCTTCTAAGTGGACTACTTACGTTACGCCATTCTAATTGCAAATCATTTCGAAGAGAACGCGATCACTCGCCATGGTTGTCGTTTGTTGAAGACTGCCACATCTCAGCCATCCAAACGCTTACTTAATTCAAATTATTTGCTCACTGATTATGCTACACCATTCAGTAGACTAATCACACCTTAAACTGTTGATTATCAGACCCTATGACCCTTGGCTTCTGGTAGCCGGAAGTGGTCTGAACATCACATATCGGCACTGC